CAATCTATTGCTCCTTGTACCTCGATTATCATGTTGTTGAGTTGTAGTTCTGTTCTGTTACTATCTGTTGTTGTTGTTACTGCTTTTGTTATTATCTGTTATTTCTTGTACTTCCGTTACTTCTTGTTGGAACGGCTTTGGATTGTTTTCCTTGAACCAAGGTCTATTGGAAACAATCTCTCTACCTCTGAGATAGGGTAAGGTCTGCGTACACTCTACTCTCCCCAGACCACACCTTGTGGGACAACATTGGGTATGTTGTTGTTATGTTGACATGTGAATCTCAAGGTCTGGCTTGCGTAGATTCATTTTCCAATTGGATTCTCACTTCTCTTAGTAGGTCAGACAGAGTATGCTTTCTCAAATTCAGTTGGATATGCTGCATTGCATATCTACCGAGAAGTTGTTTTTAATCAGGATATGCTTGCCACAAATTTTATGTACGTCACTGGAGATGTACTGTGTATATTTATCATTTGCCCACATGAATAGTATGGCTGCTGAGATTATCATGCAAGTTTTTGTACCCAACTTTTCACGCCATCTTCTCTTTCTCAGGTGGACAAGGCTCTTCAAGAAGTAATGAACAACATAGTATGTTTCTCAGTGTTTGACATTTTTCCACTGTTTGAAGTGCTTCATCAGCTAAAGAACAATCTGAGATCTCAGGTTTTTGGAAATACAACTCTTGTTTCTCTACTCTCATCGCCTCGTCCCTAGATTAGGTACATGTCCTTGGGGCACTCACTTATGAGGGTATAAATGATATGCAGAAAGATCAGCACATAAGAATGCTTATCATTGACTCAATATCATCACTCATTGCACCAATTCTTGGAGGTGGTGCACATGGTAATTTCTCACTGTAGGATGAACTGATTATTGTGTTAATTCTGGATTGTTTCTTATTTTTTTTACTTTCTTAAGCAATTTAAGAATTAACTTGTGGTTTGCATTTATTGTAGGAAGTTTTTAGTTTTCATTTCTTTAAGGTAACTTCTTGGTAAATGGGAACCCTAATTGGGTTAGATTCTTTTTCTTCTAGTATCTCTAATAGTTTGGCTTGAGGCTTAGTTATTGATGTGTGCTCTCAGACACATTTTTTGTGTGTGTGTGCATGTGAGTTCTCTTTCTTCGATTTTCTTCTGTTGAAGAGTATCCACATGTCATCATAAAAGAACCTTCTTGACAACTGATGCTCAACGTGACAACTAAAGGGATTGTTCCTTTTTTGTGAAACAGGACATGCTTTAATGGTTTCAGTGGGATTTTTACTAAAACGATTGGCACATGAACATGATATCTCCATTTTGGTAAGTTTGGCAGTAACATAACATTAACATGGTCTTTTTGTTTCAGCATTTTTAATTCTCTTTTCTATTCTCTTTAATATATATTTTTCAGCGTTCTTCATTCTCTTTGCTATTACTTTGATATCTGTCATCTTCATAACATGAGCTATTTTATCTGATAAGGATCATTTTCCTTTCTCGTTTTAACTGGATCAGTGTATTATTATTATTAAGCACATAGCACATAAGCCAGAGATGTGAACTTGTCAAGTTGTAACGTACTTACCATCGGCCCCTATTGATCAGTTAGGTTCTATCAAGGCACTTTCAGCTTTGTGTTGATCCACATAGTTTGTTTTAGTCTCAGCAAGTAAATTTCAATTTAATATTCATGATCCCATATCAAGCCATGAAAACAGCCTTTTGTAGAAATATAGGGTAAGGTGCGTTCAATAGACCCTTGCAGTCTGGCCTTTCCCCTGACCCCACACATAGCAGGAGCTTTAGTACACCGAGCTGCCCTTACACATGATCCCATATTGTCCACCCGAACTTTCCTCAATAAGTAATGGAGTATTACTTTCACTATAGTCAGATAAGTTTCTTGATATCCTATTTGTGAACCCAGTGACAGCAGCTATTTTTACTAATGAGATTCAAAATATAAAGAAGTAAACAAATGAAGAAGCTAAGGGGATTAAACCCCTCTTTCTCTCTCTCTCTCTCTCTCTATATATATATATAAAATAATATTGATCTTGTATATACCGTGTAATTATCCTATAGCTCTGACCCTGTGTGTATCTCGTTAAAATATTTACCCTTGTATGCTAGGTCACAAATCACATGGTGGCTGGTGAGAAAGGTACTTCCAAGCCAGCACTTGGAGAGAGTTGGAGAAGCATCCCGCATATTAGGCTTCTGCTATCCAAAGACCAGATTAGTAATATCAGCAGCATATCAGTACTTAGACACCCACACATGGTATGTTTCTTACAAGAACTACTCTATTGTTTCTACTCGGTTCTCAACACCTTATCATACTTCATTTCACTAATCATCAACCATAACACCTGACTCTACAACATCAATTCTTAACTTTCGATTTTGGTTTTATAATGCTATAACAAAACACCATTACCATGTCATGAATAATCATATATCTAATAAAGAATGTTTCATCCAGGCTACTGGAGATAGAGTGGAGTTTGCGTTCCAATAACATCAGGTTTTATAATGCCTGAAATTTTTATCAAAAGTATCAACTTCGATGCTGCTTCATCGTGGGAGAAATGTCATCTAAGGTTGCTGTTGGTGAATTAAACCTAACTGTTTGCTAGTGAAGTAATGAGTTGCTATAAGGTTTCTCAACTATAGATATATACATGGTTATACTTTTTTGGACACCTATTCAGTGAAAAAGATAATACTTGTTGCTATATTTCTATATTTCTATGGTATAATCATCATATCATATATTATTATAAGCGGGGAAAAAAATTAAAAATTGAATAATGATTTTACCTTTATTATAAATTAAATTGTCATAAAAATATTTAATTATTTAATTTAAATATTAAATCATATTATTTTAATAAAAAAGTTAATGACTTTTGCATTTTCTTAGATTAATTCCTAACTTAAACATCCAATCTAATAATATCTATCATCTGTTTATATGTTTATTTAATTTGATCATAACTAATTGATTAAATATTAAATGTTTCTAAAAAAAATCAGACGGATCATTTTTCATTCACTAAATTAACATTGTTTCTATAATAATTTATGATTTGAAACTAAACTTACGTATTCATTAATGTTTCATTGCGAAAAAAAAAAAATCTTTTTTTATCTATTTCAAAGGTTTATTTTAAAATTTACAAGCAATTGAATATGGTTCATATTTAGTTTTGTCACATTATCCAAGAAACTGTTGATATTCTTATGCATTTATTTCATGATTTGCGTTACTTAATTATCTAATTCTTGACTATGTACATTCTCTTATTATTTTTGGATTAATATTAAAATATGATAAAAATATATATTATCATATCAATAATATGGTACAATAAATTTATTTTAAAGTGACTATTCATGATAAACATATTTATTTATTAGCTAAATAGAAAAAGGATACAAATATTCAATTACTTCTTGAGGACAAGAAATTAAAGTGTGTATATATATATATATATATATATATATATATATATATATATTATTTGGCTTTTCAAATTTATATGTGATTTTACGTTTACTACAGCTTTTATCCTATGAATTTAATTCTTCCAAAATAGTTTCTTATGTGCTACTCCTACAATCCTTATGTGTAGGAGTTCTAAATTGGTGAAATAATGTCATAATTTATGGAAAAAATTGTGAGATTTCTCTTAAACATGATTTTTATCTCTATTTATATAGTTGTAATGTTACTTTGTTTATAAATTGCTTTTAGTTTAGGATTTTTTTGTGTTAAAAAGCAAATTGATTGTTACATTAGATTTCGTTACAATTTTCATCATCAAGACAAGATTGAAAAAGAATAACTAATTGTGTTGCTTATGCGTTTCTTTTTTGTTCTTTGTATTTGTATATCATCTTTGAAAATGAATTTGATAGAACGATTACTCTCTTTTTTTATTATTTAAAGTTGAAATATATAGAATTAGATTAATGGTAGGTTCAGTCAAGATATCATCTTTGTGTTTCATTTAGATGATTGCATACGAATAATAATCTTGAGCTTGTCCAGCAATTATCATTGCCATCATTTCTCCTCCATTGTTCAATTTTTTCTCTGATAATGATGGAAAATAACTAATTGAAGAATTTGTCGAAGGTTGTTGTTTTGTCATCTTTTTAAGAATATCTTGATATTCATCATGTAAGTTAAAATTTTCTAACTACTAACCAAAGTTTAGAATATATAAAGATTTACATATAAATTATGAATCCACTATGATATGTTTTTGAAGTCTATATTATACTAAATCATATCATATTATATCATCATTAAGCATGAACTACCATAAGAAGTATGACAAGCAAAATAAAGCCCAGATTTCCATAGGAAGACTAATTACGTGAAAGAGCAACTTCAATGAATGGTTAGGATTTGAGTTTTCGAGCTTGTGGTGATAGATTAATTAATTGTAATTGGAGAGCAAATAGTCATGGGTGTAGGGCCTTTCAAAACGAACAAATGCAAGTGGACAAGGAAGCATTTACATGTAACTTATTATTCTCAAATCTATTATAAAAAAAAACACATTTTAAAGAAATATTGTAATTTTTTACATCATGTATTAACATGTATGCATGTTTAATATAAAGTACCTATTATAAATAATATCAAAACTACCTTAATTTATATTTCAACTCTATAAATATAAGATTTATTATCTTTAGAAACATGCATTTTTTGATATACTAATGTCTACTTTTTATCATCTAAATATCAATTAAAATTGTATTGAAAAATTTAATATCAATTAATAGGAATATATGTTCAACGCACATAACCAAAATTAGTATCTAAATAAAGTTGAAAGCATATGATAATTATGAGATAGAACTACTTTATAAGTGTAACATGAAAAATAAAATATAATTATTAAGGAGTAATAAATAAAGATAAAATATTAAAATTACAATTTAATTGTTACAATAAATTTAAACATATATGATACAATAAAATTAAAGTAATGTCCGAAACAAAAGTTATATCAACCATTCAAACAAGTGTGTAAGTGAACACTGTACATAAACTAGCAAAATTATAGTTCAAGCAGATTTGAAACTCCATGATCAATTCAAGAGTTAAACAAGCTACCATAACTCTTCCAACACTCAGAATTCACAATCTTGCACGATTCAGAATCCCAATTTTCCAGTCCCAACCATACCACAGTCATCATCGTTTTCACAGACACAATTCAAAATCTTCAGCTGAAACTCAAAAGCCTCATAACACCACAAGAAACCTTCTTCGCAAACCAATACCACTCCTTGCAGACCTCAAACAAATCCAAGATCCTGATGAAGCTATTTCACTCTTCCATTATTATCAACAAATGGGGTTCAAACATGACTACCCAACTTATTCTTGTCTTGTTTATAAGCTCGCAAAGTCTCAAAATTTTGAAGTTGTTGAAACCCTTCTTGGATATCTCCAAACTCATCATATTCGATGTAAAGAAACACTTTTTATTGGGTTAATTCAACACTATGGGAGAGCCCAGTTAGTTGATAAAGCTGTTGAGCTTTTTCACAAAATTGGGTCGTTTAATTGTTCGCCTAGTGTGCAGTCTTTTAATGCAATTCTGAATGTGCTTGTTGATAGTGGACGTTCTGAAGCTGCTAATGAGATGTTAAGGAGTTGTTCGAAAATGGGTATCTGGTTAAATTCTGTTTCGTTTAACATTATTATCAAGATGTGGCTGAAGAAGGGTGATTGGGAAATGGCTCGCCAACTGTTTGATGAAATGCTTGAAAGAGGGGTTGAGCCAACAGTGGTTACTTACAATTGTCAAATTGGGTTTTTGTGTAAGAAGGGGGATGTTGAAGATGCTAAAAGTCTGTTTCAGGATATGGTTAGAAAGGGAAAGAAGGCAAATGCAGTGTCGTATGCTTTGCTGATGGAAGGTTTATGTTCTTTAGGGAAGTATAAGGAGGCTAAGAAGTTGATGTTTGATATGGAATACCAAGGATGTAAGCTGAAAATAGTCAATTATGGTGTTTTGATGACTGATCTTTTGAAACGAGGGGAAATTGGTGAAGCAAACAGTTTACTTGTGGAGATGAAAAAAAGGGGCATTAAATTTGACATTGTGATCTATAACATGTTGATTAATTATTTTTGTAAAGAAGGTAAAACCGCTGAGGCCTATAGGATGTTAGTTGATATGCAAATTGCAGGCTGCTGTCCTATTGCAATTACATACAGAATGGTGGTTGATGGATTTTGTAAAACAGGAGAATTTGAGGAAGGTTTGAAAGTTTTGAATGCAATGTTGATGAGCAGGCATTTTCCACGTATGGAAACAGTAAGGTGTTTGATTCTTGGTCTGCTTGATAAAGGGAAGGTTGAAGATGCTTGCTTTGTTTTGGAGGAGATGGAGAAGAGGAAGAAAAAGTTCAATTTTGATTCATGGGAAGTCATTGTCAAGGATTCTTGCACTAGTGATAGGAGTGTAAGCCAGCTCTTAGATGAGCTTGTATTTTAGCTATTCGATTTAGATCCATTACTTTGTCAAATCTAAGAATAGATAACCGCATAAGACAGTGACATGATTCTTGGTTTATAGAGTTGGGCATGCTTAATGGAAGCAATTTGGCTTCTCAATATCTGATTAAACTTTTTATGGACACTGTAAACAAAATCTCTGAATGTATTAACTTAATTTTTTTGGTGATATCATCTTGTTTTCTAGTTTAATAATTTGAAACAGAAAAGGTACTTTATTTGTTTCAATCTAACCATCTGATATTTGGTAATCATTATACTGAGTAATCCAAGTTTGTGCAGTATAGAGTCCATTTAAGGATAATTTCAAGAAGGGCTTTTCTGCTTGAAACAAAGAAGGTACTTCCAATAGAAGCTTTTCTCCTCTGAAATAATCTTTTAAGAACATTTGTTTGTTACCCAGTTCGGTATTTTGGTTGCAGTTTTTCGGTATTTTGGTTGCAGTTTTAGTCATTATTTTGTTTTTCTGCTTATGCTCTCTTCTACGTGATCGTTATGTATTTGTGATTTCAACTGAACAACATAATTTTGAGAGATTGAAGGAGGTTTAATCTGCCAATCTTATATATATGTCTTTAGGTATTCTTATAATGAACTACATGTCCAACTAAACCTACAGCTCAACTGAAAAGAAGGGGACAGCAAAAACAATCAATCAGAAAGCAAAAGAAGATAAACAAGAAAGGAAAAGGCTACTACTAAGGTGCAGAATGAGAGAGAAACTACATCTAATATTGTTAAAGAGGGAAAAGAACCAACACTCTTGGCAGTCCAATAGTGAAAGAAGGAACACATTCTATAACAAATATGACAAATCAAGAGGAAGATTAAAACGAACCAAGCACTGCAGCCAATAATACTGTCAAAGTAGGATGAATCCAAAGAGAACAACGTATCAAAAGGATACGATCTGCAGAAAATCTTCACTCAAGCACTTCGTATAAGTAGCATAGAATGAACAAGTTGTTACCTGCAACATCAGTGTAGATGGACTAACGGAGAAACTCAGTGTTTAGTATTAATAGTGTAAACGAAAACAAAACACAACTTGAGAATGTCATTGTAGGATTCCTTGAGGATGTTACTACTTCTTCCAACATACCCTAATGGTTAATCGATGACTTCAATGTAATCACTGATGATACAGAAAAAAAGTGTCCTTTGACAAAGCATACACAAGATTACAAGTTTCCCTTTCATAAATTATATGGTAGACTGATGTTTGTTGGATGTTGTGTTTTCTGGTTCCCCTTTCACTTGGTGTAGTGGAAGGACAACAAAATATATTATATGAAAAAGGTTAGATAGAGTGTTACTTAACCATGAATAGTTGAGTTTCTTCTTTTCAAAAACTTTAGGTAAGTCATGTGAATAGAACACGGTCTGATCATTCCCCTATGTTAATCACCCTAGAGGTACAACAGATCAAAAGGCGAAGACAAGTTTCTCACTCTATGGATTGAACAACCTGATATTTCAAACGTTGTGAGGAATGCATGACAACAGGAGGTTCAAGATAATCCTTTATGGTCGTTTTGTTTAAGAATGCGGAGATGATACAACATCTGAAGTTGAAATTCTCTTTTTGGAGTCAAAAGTCTGGTTTCAGATGGGTAATTACGGAAAACCTAAGCACCAAGTTCTTTCACTCATTATTAGTTAATAGAAGAAGGAGATTGACACTAGACCTGATGATTTCAATATTAAGTTTTATTAGGTCTTGTTAGCATATACTTGAAGGGGACATTTTGATTAATAAAGCCCGTTAATATTGCTATCTCTCACATACACATGTCTTGTTCTTCTTCCAAAGCTCAAAACCTTACGGCCAATCAGTTGAAGAAATGTGTTTTTAAAATTTCTGCACAGCAGATTAATCTCACTGGTATCAAATTAATCACTCATAATCAATCAGGTGTGAAGTCTGATAAAGGGTAGGTCCATAAGTAAAATTATTATGTAGGCCCATGAGTTGGTAGATAATATTTCAAGTTTGTGTTCAAATTGGACATCTCTAAAGCTTACGATAAGGTGTGCTGGTGTCACACTCTTAGAGCCTTCGAATTTTTGACGAAAGGTGGATACATATCATATATCTGTTATTTAGGATTGACTTTATAACTTATCAAGAAAGCTGATACAGGGTAATTCCTTGTCAGTTCTCACCCTCTTTGTTTGTTAAATGTGCAAAGTTATTGTCCAGATTGTTGAACCAATTACCTCAGAATACTGATTTCATTTCATATGTTGCAGATGAAAAGGCACCACTGATCACTCATTCGTTACGAGATAAACGATGCAGTGTTTCTGGACAAATGATTAACAAGGAGAAGTCTTCATTCTTTAGGCTTCTCAGAACATGATTCAGGGAATCAAGATATTGACAACATTTCAGCAATAAATTTCCCTTTACATATCTTGGAAGGAAGAAGATTTACTTCCTCAATAATATGATCAACAAAGTTACCAACAGAGTCCAAGGATGATTTTGGTATGGATGAAAATATTTTCTAGAAAAATGAGTGTTTTCATACTTATTTTGTTGTGTTCAGTATGCAAGTAAAAAGTATTACCCGAAGAGTATTTGTGTATATCTAAGACAAAACTATGAGGATGGGATGCGACAAGACTATGTGGATGCTTTGAAGTGAAACTGTAAAATATGTGTTAACAATGAGATTTACAATAACACTAAAAGAGTTTTAGCTACCCATTCAAGAACCATTGGATCATTTATCCATTGTGTGCTCTATGTTAATTTTATACAAATACCTATTGATTTCTACATAGATATATATATTTCGTAATGAAGTTAATGGATGTTCGAGCACCCGGCGGACACCATGTAGGTCTCGCCCCTGGGGATGGGGTTAGAGAGGAGATCATGCTATTTGTTTTCCTCTACTTTCATTTACAAAGTCATTTTTCTTATTTTTAAAACTTTGTTAATATAAATATTTTCTTATAAAAAAAATATGAAAGATATGAATTTTTTAATGTAGGGCCCTAGGGTATTCTGATATCTCTCATTTGGTTATATAAATTGAAGAAATTTTGATAGCGTTTACAAGTTGTTGGATTTTCATACTTATCAGAAAAATACAACTTAAAAAATTCAAATTACATATTTAAACAAAACGTTAACTTGAAATCAATCTAAATTTAGATCGAATTCTATCGTTCTGCCACACTTTTCCGACTTGATACCACCCCTAAAACCACAAGTAACGGCGTATTGGGGGGAAAACACAATTATAGAAAAGTAGGGGCCAACACAAAATATGGATTAAAACCAGGGACCATAATGCAATTTGGTCTCTTTGACTTAGATACAGCGCTGCTCTCTGAAACTCAGATGGCAAAAGGGTTGCAGCTATTCGTGAACAGTACACATACTCTATCTCTCTCTTAATTTATGTGTGTTGGAGTTCTTATTGAAACCCTAATACTGATGTATTCGAATTTTTTTACAGGATTGTCGTTTTATACTACGAGTGAACAGTTGAAGAAGCTATTTTCACCTTTTGGCGTTGTTACAGAAGGTTAATTCGCACTTCTTCATTGTTTTTTGGCTGAAATTTTTAATTGGAAGATGATGTAATTCACTTTATGTGATTGCTTTGTAACTCTCTACAAAGATGATGAGAACTTTCTTTATTTGATGACTCTATTAGGGTAGTAGGTTGCAGGTAGTAGAGTGTGGTGGTGATTATCCTTCCATATTAGTAGTCCTAGTATAATTCGTGTAGCTTCTTCTTCCTCGATTTGTATTACTATTTGTTGTTGTTTTTTATATTTTGTTTATTGTATTTTTTCTTTGTATAGTTTATGTGTTGGATGCTTTGTTATGCTTTTTACAGTATTTTGGCATGACTTTTTTGAAATGCTTTTGTCTGTGTCTATTCGGAATAGCCTCTCTATCTCTAGGTAGGTAGGGGTAGGGGTAAGGTCTATGTGCACCTACCTTCCTCATACCAAACTTTGTGAGATTACGTTGGGTATATTGTTGTTTTTGATGACCGTAGTGTCCGGACAAGTTTTCGTGCACTTCGACTAATTCCATAAGTATTGTGCCATCTCCCACCAATATCAGGTACCAGATAACTTTGTCCACTAAAATATTGGGATGGGTGGGAAGAAATCATCAAGTGTTTTTTTTGTTTTTTGTTGGGATTTAGATCTCAACTCATACACTTCGTGATGAATTTTGTTAAAGTGGGTCTGCAACTAGTTTAGTTTTAAGGCTTAATTCGATTGATTGACATGGATTTGTTAATTGGGTGAGCAGCAAGGCTTGTTAAAGATCCAAGAACACAAAGGCCTAAAGGTTTTGGATTTGTTACCTTTGAATCAGAAGCAGATGCCCAGAACGCATTGAATTCCTTGAACGGAAGGGTAATACCTCAGTTTTCTAAATGTGTACGCTTGGTCATGTGTGTATCTATATATTGAGTTAATGGAACGTGCTTAATAGTGATACGGATCAACAATGGTATATACTTTGTATATAAAATTTTGGATAATATATAGTATTTAATAAATCTGTACCTATTTGCTAGAAAGGGGACAAGGAGTTATCATTTAAGTGTTATCCTACATTTTAAACTAGGCATGCCTCTACCTATCAACAATTCTTAGACCGCCATCTGTTTAAAATAAATTTTTATCAATCATCATGGGTTAAAGGAAACAGATATCTAATTCCTACACTTCACTGCAAAACGGTATGCTAAAGATGTATTTCAAGCTGAATCGTTTTAGTTTGATGTTTGACTCTGTGATCATAATCAACCTGCATCTACTGGTGCATTCATTGGTCGTAAGGACTTTGAAATGTGATAATGGTCCTGCAATGCTTTCAGTTGGAGTCAGGATATTTATTGCTGAAAAGGGACCAATGATCAGGGTGGAAAATGTAAGTTGGGAGCATTCATAGGCTTGTAACAAAACTTGCAAAGAATATACCCATTTTAGAACAACTAAATTTCACTGGAAAGAGAGATTTAGGTTCTTGGAAGTTACTGGTTTACGTAGAGATATTGCGTTAGCTGTAGTAGCTGCATCATTATGAATGCTTATTATTGTTGTTTGTTTTGGGTTCCGAATTTGTTTATCTTTTAATTGATTTGTTGAATTAAGTGGCTCATAAACTCTTTAGTGGAAATGAAGACTGGGCAGTCTCTTGTTGTCCCAAGTTTTCCTTCTGGTTTTGCTGACAAATGTGGTTGAGACAGAATCTCTTGATGTTCACTGGTTGAGTTACTGATAAGGAACTGGGATTTCCTTAGAAAAAACTAAATATGTTATCTAAGTTCTCAATTCAAGGAAAACAGGACTTAAAAATGGATGATTGTGTTCTGGAGAAGAGAATTTCTTAAACCAGTTATAAACAAAACAAGAAAAAGAAGAAAGAATACTTGTATGCATAAAATATGTCAGTTGAAGAAACAAACTATGATAATAGAAGAAAGAATATGTGTATGCTTAAAATATTTCAGTTGAAGAACAAAACTATGATATCAAACTCCAAACTGAGAACTGTCTGCTTCCCCTCTATTAAGCTACTACCTCCACACACACACACACACCCGTGGTCTCTACCTTTCCTGACTTTGATCTAATATTGGTACCTAATTGCCACATCTATTAAAGTCCATTCTCTCACTACAGTGATTTTGTGTTTTTAGTGTTATATTGGCATAATGGACATTATGTCATTCAAGACGGAAGTACCTAAACATTGTGTGCACAGATAAAAAAGATTGTTATAATTTGTGATACACACAAGAAGTGCCAAGCAGACTGAGAAAAAGAGATGAGAGATAGCACAGCTGAGAGTAGTAGAAATGTTATATCATTAATGTGAATATGTTAAGTGGCATTATCTTTTGCAGAAAGCTTCTTTTCCATCTGGGGGGGAGGGGGGGGGACATTTGTTTCCCAGCTTTATAAAGTGCATTTAATTTCATTTCCTTCTGGTGAAATATCTTACATAACTGTCCAAGTCTTGTTGATTCCCATTTACTTTGTCTATTTCTGTTCTGTCATTGAAATGATCTACGGACTGCAGATTGTTGATGGAAGACTGATTTTTGTGGAAGTTGCTGAGACTACAGAAGCTGCTGAAAACAAAACATCCCGAAAATAAGTTTCTTGTAATTCAGTGTACACGTTGCTATTTCATATTCCAGATAATGGGTGAATTTTTGGCCATTTCTCAGTCCTCCATAGTGTTGCCTAACTTTCGAGTCCAAGCTTGGAGTAAAAGGCAGCTTTTCATTGCTCATAGTCAGCCATTGAGGTCACTTCATTCATCTCTTCATAGCTTGACTACCTCTCACACAGTGTATCCAGGCTTGTCTGCTGGATCGACGCATTTCTCTTTGGGGGTCAGAGCCAGTGTTGTCTCTGTTGACTCTACAATGCCAACTACCTTTACTGTTGATCCAGCTGGGCCAGGAATTGATGTTCTGCCAGAGGCAGGTGGTGGCGGAGGTGATATTGGGGGTGCAAATGATGACGGTGGCGGTAGGGGAGATAATAGTGGAAATAATAATGATGGTGACAATGAGGGCGGTTCAGATGAAGGGGAGGATCATAACAGTAAAAAGAAAATGGCCCTCTCTATGTCCCAAAAATTGACCTTGGGCTATGCTTTCTTGGTTGGAGCTGGTGGTTTTATGGGTTATCTTAAGAGTGGCAGCACAAAATCCCTGATTGCAGGTGGAGTTTCTGCGTCCCTCCTGTATGCTGTTTATACTATGCTTCCAATACAACCTGTTTTGGCATCAGCAATTGGTTTTGTCCTCTCAGCTGGACTTGTTGGAGTAATGGGATCTCGCTTTCTGAAATCAAAGAAGGTTTTTCCAGCTGGTGTTGTCTCCTTTGTGTCTTTTGTTATGACTGGTGGTTATTTGCATGGAATATTGCGCAGTGCGCATTAGATCCCCTAAAATGAGCCAAGTATTTGCCAATACAGATACATTAGTTTTGATATCTGTTTGAATTTGGATTTTGTCATGATTTCTAAGTTGGGCTGCTAGAACTCTCTAGTAAAACACTAATATTGTATCAAAAGGGCACTTTTGTTTACCCTCTTTCTCCGTAGTGAATTCATTCTGTTTTTGGATAAGTTCTCCTCTATTATTACTGTTTTATATGTGATTTGCATATTAGTAGTAGTACCTAGTAATATCGTAGTTTCTTCCTCAATCACAAAAGACAAAAGATTCGACTTGGTCATCCACATCAAAGAGTTGCTAGTCATAGTGCTTGTCAACACGACAAGTCACCATGTTTATATTAATTTAGCAATTCAGGATTCAACAATGTGTCATTATAATTTGTGTGTGGGTAAACAATTTGATCAAAAAGTACGTAGACTTATCTGATTTAACTTGGCAACTAGAATTTTCCTCTATGAAACAGTTGTAAATAGATGTGCAACACCCAATAAGAAATCATAAGTAGTGTTCGATCTGATACACCAATGGCCAAGATCTGACATCTTAAAAGGCAAATGTCATGGCTCTCAATTGTAGAGAGAATCAAAGCATCATTTATTGATTCCTTCAACATCTACAAAAGGCACATCATTTCAGGAACAAAAAGCAACAGATAGTAAAAAAGAAATTGTGAAGTCGAAACAAGGGGTTTCATTGATTGATAATAGAGAAAAATAAGATCTAACAGTAGTTTTAACTAATTCCATCAAGGATAATCATCACCTTCTAACAACAGAATTACATACACAGACGATCCAAAAAAAAAAACATTAAGAATCTATGCCTTCTTGGGAGATTTGGTAGCTTTGGATGGAGATTTAGGGGCCTTTTCACCTCCAGTCTTCTTTGGCAACAAAATTGGGTTGATGTTTGGAAGAACACCACCATGTGCGATTGTTACACCAGCAAGAAGTTTCCCAAGCTCTTCATCATTCCTCACAGCCAAAAGCAAGTGCCTTGGGATGATTCTGTTCTTCTTGTTGTCACGGGCAGCATTTCCAGCCAACTCCAACACCTATAAATCAAAACATTTCAATCAAAAATTTGAAACCCTAGATCCTAATTGAACCAAATTAGCAAAGCATAAATGGAGGAAAATTTACTTCAGCAGCCAAATATTCAAGTACGGCCGCCAAGTAAACTGGAGCACCCGAACCAACACGTTGAGCGTATCGGCCTTTTTTCAAAAACCTTCCGATTCTTCCAACGGGGAACTGAAGACCGGCCTTAACAGACCGGGAAACAGGCTTCTTCTTTGGGCCTCCTCCCCTTCTGCCGGCGGCACCCTTCTTCACTTTTCCGGTAGACTCCATTTCAAAGAATAGCTTCTTTTTTTTCAGATAATTGATTATCGAAGAGAAGATGAGTTGGGTAAGAATCTGCGGATGGTTTTTATAGAGATGTTTGGTTGTCAATTGGTTTACAGCCGTTGGATTGATCTTTAATCAGACGGTGTACATTAAATATGTTTCGATCCGTGTCATTTCAAATGGACCAATGACTGTGTGAATTTGAATGTTGTTTAATTAAAAAGCGTTTCTCCCGCTTGAAATATTTCGCCTTGTTGGCAAAAAATTTTGAATTTATAGTATAGTCGTTTGGTAAGTAAAATTATATAAGAATAATGTTAATTAAAGTATATTAATTATATTTTTATTAGTCGTGTGTATGTATTAGTTATATTTGCATTAATTAAAAATTTTAAGATGTAAAAGGAAATTTGAGGGGCAAATGTGTCTTTAATTTAGCTGATGCATCATTAAAATAATTATATTGCTAATATTTTTAGAAATTCATATTATTAGTAATGCATATCTTAATACAATAGAGTATAAAACTAATGCAAGTATTAGCTATACATAGATTAGAAAAGAGTACCAAACAAGATACTATTAATACATAAGGTTAATTGCTAAATTATTTTTCCTAATACACTCTACCAAATGTCTTATCAGAATTTAATTCTTTTAAATTACATTAATAATATAAAATTATAAGGGAACGAGAAAATTTAGTTATTTTGATGCATGTTAAGGAGAATAACACTTGTATTATTAGCGTTAACCACTTTCGCACAACAACAACTAAATCGCCTAGATGTTAAAGGAGAGTAGTTAATGTTAGTTGTCGTCTATCCATAAAAACATTCACTACTCACTACAATGACGGTCATTTGATTTTAATTTAGATACTAAAAGTTACTCCATCCGTTCATTTTTAATTGTTATAGTATAAGAATTTTAACTAACATTTTATAATATATTTTTTCATCATATTGGTATGCAAAAAATTGCGATTTATAATATTTTTTCGTACAATTTTAAATATATATTTATCAAATAAATATAATCTAATTTAATTTTGAAAACTATTCAAATTAACGTTTTAAAAATGTAAAAGTAAAGAGAGGTACTATATTACTTATTTGTAGACGCAACCTCGGCGCCAACATTTATTGATTGTTTTCGACTTCCCTGAGTATTTTTGTGCTTCCCTTGCCATGGTCTAACGTGCACAGAGAGAAAAATAATTCTTGCTAATCCCACACATATGCAAGAATTATTTATATCATTTAGTAATTTTACTCCTTATAATGGAACACTTGGTGGGTCTTTGGTTGAATTTTGGGTTCGATAATGATAAAAGTATATATCAAAGATTATCTGAATCAAACAGTAAGTTTGGGGGCTTATCAATTATAAGAAAAAGAAAAAAAACTAACTAGGGAGATATTGCTTTGGCTGTAGGAACAAGTTTCTGGTAATTCAGTTATTTCATAATCCAGATTGACAATATAATGGGTGAAATTTTGTCCATTTCTCAAACAGGTTGTTTTTATACTGTTCTATCCTTCCAGGTTTCAACATATTAGTTTCAAAGCTACTCAAATATTTATGTGTTTATATTATTAAGCAATTTGATCGAAAAATGCTTCAACTTATCCGATTGAACTTGCAACCTAGAATAGAATAACAAAGTGTCTATGCTTCATTAATTTCTTTTTCATAAGAAATCTGATAGACCAATGCCCAACATCTCACATCTGAACAAACACCATGATAGAACATAGAGCATCTAGAAATGAAATTGTAAAGTCGAAACAAGGGGTTTCATTGATTGATCTAACAACTTAATAATATCCATCAACAGCTTCTAACATACACAAAGAATCTAAGCTTTCTTAGGAGATTTTGGGGCCTTTTCACCTCCAGTCTTCTTTGGCAACAAAATTGGGTTGATGTTTGGAAGAACACCACCATGTGCAATTGTTACACCAGCAAGAAGTTTCCCAAGCTCTTCATCATTCCTCACAGCCAAAAGCAAGTGTCTTGGGATGATTCTGTTCTTCTTGTTGTCACGAGCAGCATTTCCAGCCAACTCCAACACCTGTAAATCAAACAAAATTCAATCAAAAAATTGAAACCCTAGATCCTAAAAGCATAAATGAAGGAAAATTTACTTCAGCAGCCAAATATTCAAGAACGGCGGCCAAGTATACGGGAGCACCAGAACCAACACGTTGAGCGTATCGGCCTTTTTTCAAAAACCTTCCTATTCTTCCAACGGGGAACTGAAGACCGGCTTTAACAGACCGGGAAACAGGCTTCTTCTTTGGGCCTCCTCCCCTTCTGCCGGCGGCACCCTTCTTCATTTTTCCGGTAGACTCCATTTTAAGGAATACCTTCTTTGGAACAGAATGTCGGAGAGATGATGTTGCATTGGGTCAGAAATCTGCGGATGGCTTTTATAAACATCTTTGCTTTTTCGGAAGATTGTTTATAGCCGTTGGATTTATCTTTAATCTGACGGTCTACATTGAATACATCTCGATCCGTTGTCATTTCAAATGGACCAATGGGGCAAATCTGAATGTTGTTTAAGGTTAAAAAGCCTTTCTCCCGCCTGAAATATTTTGCCCTTTTTGGTGAAATTTTTTGAATACCTTAAAAGTTTAATTCTTTTAAATTGCATTATTAATAATATAAAGTCTTTAACATATTCCTAAAGTTGGCATCAATTTTCATTTAGATACCTTCATTAAGGTTTGTTCATTTTAGACACCTCATAACACTTAATTTAACAATCAGTCAAATATATAAGATGTGTGTGACAAACTCGCCAATAACGTGTCAAAGTGGAAAACTGAACAAAAATATATGACATATATATTAAAAATATTTTTTAAATAATGATACAATGGGAATGATATGAGGTGTCTAAAATAAACAAAGTTATGTTAAGGTGTCTAAGTGAAAATTGATGTCAACTTTAGAGGATTACTGATGGGTTAGGCCTAATAGAAAATTGTTTGTCATCAAAAGAAGGGGACTAGAAAATTTGATTGTTTTGATGCAGATTTAGGATAATAACACTTATATTTTGAGATTTCGTTTAATTCAACTGGCGCTAACAATTTTTGCCTAACAACTGCTAAACCTCGTAGATACTCTATTAAGGAGAGAAGTTAGTGTAAGTTGTCGTTTATCCATAAAGACATTTATTACTCCCACAATAATCATCATCTAATTTGACCTTTATTTTACTCCCACAATAATCATCATTTAATTTTCACTTGAACAGTATTATTAATTTGTACACACAACTATTCTTGATTGTTCAGCACCAATATTTATTAATCGATTCTGAATATCAAATAAGAATTTTTCATTTTTGTTATTTCATCTCTCATTTATTCTTCGCTAGTTAATTTATTATTTACTTGACACTGTCAAGGAATTAATATTGTCTAGGTTAAGTACTTGCTTCAGACATATTTAAAAATTCAATTGATTTTTCTTATAAATATGTTTTAAGCTATATAGTGATCACATAGTCTCAAGTAAGGGTGATAAATGAGCGAATTTAATAAACTTTGAGTGATTGTAAATGAATTGATTTACAATCTACCTATATAAATATGAAAAGAAATATTTTTTTAATAGTATGTATAAATTTAATCTGCTTCGAAACAATCAAATTTTCTAGTATTATTATCCTAAATCGCGAATAGCACTTCACAATTATTGAACATGATTTTGATGACAATATTGATATCACAAAATAATAAAAAAAAAAAGGTTAAACACTAGAGATTGATGTAGATTTACCAAAATACATATGGGAAACAATTGATTATGATTCACATTCCTAATTATTGTAAGCATCCGATTGAAGTTATCATTATAAAATTATAATTAAGATGCATAAGGTCTTAGTATTTCATTAGTCATCATTGATATTTCATATCTTTACAAATATTTCAATTTTACTCGAGTCGACAACAATGATTTTCTTAGGTTATAAATAGACTAGGGTATTAAGTAAGAGACTAGTCTTTTTTATCACATGCAATATTTCACCTCTTTTCACGTAAATATATTTTGAGATGTACACATTATGAAATTAATGGATAATTTTACATTAAAAAATTTGTACAGCCTGGGTTGATAATCCTTTCTGCCATCTGCTTCGATATATGGAGTCAACTTGCTCTGTATTGCCACAAGAAATTCAAACAGTTGATGCAACAAGCCGGTCACTCTTCTAAAATGCGGCTCTCTGCTCTGCAAATTATAATAAATCGAGTTAGACAAAGAAAGCACAATATAAGACAAGGAACAAAAAGTTAAAATCTCGTTAGTCCAATTCCATCTGACACAACTTCTATATCCTTTATTTTTATTTTGATGACAAGGGAACCCACAACTGCTTCCTTTTTGTGCTAGCTGACAGGAGAGGTAAACCGCACTAAACGTATCTTGTGCAACGAGCTCGACCTAGAAAGTCCACCCCCAAAGGGGTTTCAAAAATGTTCTTTGAAACATCAAGTTTATGGTAACCACATGGTTATATCCACGATAACAGATAAGTGATTCTATATTCTTTATATAATACAGAAACACTTGGACATGTGAATGTTATTCTCCTTAATAACACACAACATGGAGACCTTACTCTGTAATATTTCCAATTTAGACATGTTGGAATGGTTTACCAATTTTGACCAAATTTTACAGCATTAAGTGTAGATGGGACAGTGACAGCTAGCATTTTCAAAAACCGTAAAACGATTCAAGATGAAATGAAGTGACATCTTCAGTGATATCGTGAACTGATCTACTGAGAATTTTAAGGAATAAATGTAGCTCCAACACCTCTATAAGTTAACATAACATGCACACTGCCTCATCAGCTAGAGTATTGTGAGCAAGAGACTGCATGACATGTCTCATAATGGGACTCCTAGCAGCGTGCAAATAAAGCCCACAGAAAAAAGAAAGAAATTTCACAATGTGGAACACAAGCAACTCTTGAAATTTAAAGCATCTGGACACTCTTTGCATACCTGATAAGAATACCAGCTTGCAGATATTAACATCGACAGCATATTAACAGTTGCCTGTATGAATGAAGTTCTGAAAATATATATATAAAAAGAAAGGTGCATTATCAGCTATTAATAGTGAAAATAGACATGATAACTCACCCTTTCGGGTGGCCCAGTGGTTTGGGCTTGGGACCTTCCATGTTGGAGGCTCAAGTTCGAAACCCCTCGGTAGCTAAAGCAAGGGGTTTGCCCTCTGGGTCGAGCTTGTCGCACTGGACTTGCCTAGTGTGGGTTACCTCTCCTATGTGGTTTGTGAGCTATTGCATAGGAGCGGGGTTTTTACCCTGTGCACCCTCAAAGGTTAGCGGCTGCGGGTTTCTCCTGTCTTAAAAAAAAACAATCATGATAACTCATAGTAGTTACAGAAAATACAAACACAGAGACATACATGCATGGCCTCTCCATAAACCACTGGCAAAAAGACACTCAACTAAAATGTAAAAGTAAATATTGGAAACTATTTGTAACATCTCTCCAAGTAATATGGAGACCCTCTGATTTACTCCAAATACTGCACTATGCTCTATTTGAGAAGGAAAAACAGCCGAGCCATGAAGATCAGCTGGAGATTAATGAAAAATCTAATTTGAGTAGAAAACAAGTTTTTAAGTGATAATTGAAGAGGCAACAGGAAGTAGGAAGAAACACATCAGGGTCTTTACTAACTCATAGACAATACAAGCATGTTGGGTGTTCATTATCCAGAATTTGAAGATTGTCATATTTCCTCCCAATACTTCCTATGTTAAACGATTGGATTTAAATATACAGGAAAAGAAAAAAAAGAAATTGTCAAACTACCTCCCTTGAAGTTCTAAAGATGCCCAACTCTTACTTCATGTCCTCATATAAAAAGGCAGGAGATTGAACTATTCATGGATGAGGCATTTTAGAGTAAAGGTTGACATGATCACGTCCTGTACAAATATCCTGAATTTTAATAGTCATTACTTGATCAAAGTAAATGATCCTTGCAGCAGCGCTAGCAGATCTGGTGGACTGCCCCATTTTTCAGGTTCCATGGATTAAAGAAGCATATGTTGCACGAGTCACCTTCAGACCACTTGCTATCATCTCATCACGCAATTCAAACGCCTTAGACATTTCTCCAGCAATGCAGCAACCATAAATGAAAAGGTTATAAGCCACTGCATCAGGCTTCAGACCATTAGTCAACATGGATTCCCACAAGCCTCTTGCTCCTAACAGATCACCCCTCCTACAGAATTCATAAATGATAGTTGAGTAACTTACGCAATCTGGGAAGATACCGTTGTCCTCCATTTCAAGCAAAATATCCATCGCTTCCTGAATTTGGTCTAATCTGCACAAACCCCGTATAATAATATTGTATGTCACAGTATTTGCAAGGTACCCTTTCAGCATTGCATCATGAAGCTGTTTAGCTTCTACCATGTACCCTTCACTAGTGAGATAATCAAGGAAACAACTATATGTGAACTGGTTAGGTGTCAACCCTTTAGCTAACATTTCCTTGTAGAATACCTCTGCTTTATCTACTAATCCAGCCTTGCACAAGTTATTTATCATCACAGTATACGTCACCACATTTGGGAAGCATCCTTCACTGACCATTATATCCCAGCATTTAAAAGCTTTTTTAAGATCACCAACTTTTCCATATGCATCAAGCATGCTAGTGTATATTACTTCATCAGGCTTCATTCCTCGGTCGTGCATCTCCTTCATTATATTTAATAAATATTTCCAATCATGATGCTTTAGAGTTCCATTTATGAGTACACCGTAGCACACAAGGTCCATGTTTATTCCCTTTTCTATCATCTCATCAGTAGTGGTTAGTGCATCCTTTAATCTTCCTTCCTTGCAATAACCATGTAAGAGAGCAGAGAAACACATTTCATTCAGATAATGACGCTGGTTTTGAAGGTCATCAACAAACTCTTTTGCTTCAGATACTTGACCTTTCGTACAAAGTCCAGTTATCAGAGATCTGTATGTATATGTGTCAGGAATAAGACCCTTTTTCAACATTTCATCTAGCAATTCAAAAGCCTTTATGGTGTTCCCATCTTTACAATGTCCTTCAATCAAGACATTATAAGTGACCTCAGTAGGAGTTACATTCATTTTCACCATCTCATCAAATATCTTACTTGCTTCTACCATCATGTGTGCACGGCAAAATCCAGAGATTAGTGCAGTGAAAGTGAAAGTATTAGGTGAAATTCCTTTGCCAGTCATCTCATGGTAAAGCCTAAAGGCCTTCTGCACTTCTCTTTCCTTGCAGTAACCATCTATCAATGAAGTATAGGTTACAACAGTTGGGGTCAATCCTTTATCAATCATCTCATTAA